GCGAGGGCCGGGAAGCCGCTCGGCTCGGCTCCGCTCGGCTCGGCTCCGCTCGGCTCCACCCGGCTCGGCTAGTGGCTCGCGCAACAACGCGTAGCGCGAGGGACGCGACGGCCTCAGCCGCCCCACGACCCCGCCTAGCGCAATATAGGAGAGCTTGTCATCCGTTCTCTTTTATATTTTTCTTATTCGAGAGTAAAAGCAATGACACCTTACATTACTCATGTATAGTTAGTTATGTATAGTTTAGGTGTAAGGTTGTAAGGTATCATCTGCTAAAAATCTCACCCCATCAAATTAAATCAAACTGCTTGTGCTGCCATGCCGTTGCCGCTGCCCGGGCCGGGCCGCCGCCGCTGACCTTTGCGGCGCTTTATGTCCGGCAGTGATTCTCTCTTTGCCGCGCCATGAGACACGGCCTTGTCGCCGGCCTGCGGGGCACGACCCCCTCGCGAACGGCTGAGGAGGATTTGGTCAACCAGAAGAAACTGTAGGACTCACCTGGTCTACCTGCGCGCGCGCTGGGCGGCGCTGAGCACGGCGGCCGGCACCTCAGAGCGCTCTAGGTCCTCTCCATGCAGGTCCAGGCCTCGCATCATCTGTACGATCTCGCGCTCCTTCTTGTGCTCGGGCGTGGCCGGGGCGGGCGGCCCGAACTGCAGGCTGGCGAGCGAGCCGTGCGACCGGGACCGGTGCTCCTGCCGGATGGAGTAGCTGAAGGCGCGCTCGTTGAGATGGCCCTTCTTGCGGTAGATCCCCGTGTTGAAGGGCGACTCCTCCACGGGCGACGAGTCGTCGCCGTTGTCCGGGCTGGCGCCGTTGGTGCCGTTGGTGGCCGTGCCATTGCTGTGGCCGTTCATGCCGTTATGGTGGTTGTGGTGGCCGTTCATGGGAGGCGGCGACATGGGCGGGGGTGACATGGGCGGCCCGGGCGGCATCATCATGGGCAGCGCCGGGATGGGCACGGGGATGGCCATGGGCGGCATGCCGTTCTTCTTATTCTTCTTGTTTTTCTTCTTGCCGCGGCCGTCCAGGGTGGCGGTGGCGGCCTGCGCGTACTGCTGCATGAGGTACGCCTCGTGCGGGAAATGGCCCGGTTGGTAGGAGGCAACGGGACTCAGCGGCCGAGCGGAGGGCATGTAGATCGGCTCCTCCATCGGGTGGTGCATGGGGCCCATGGGACCCATTGGCCCCATAGGGGGCCCCATAGGGGGCCCCATCGGTGGTCCCATTGGGGGTCCCATGGGCGGACCCATGGGAGGGCCCATGGGATGCCCCATCGGAGGCCCCATGGGCGGGCCCATCGGTGGCATACCCATGGGTTGAGGGTGGCCCTTGCGGCCCGGCCTTCCCATGGTCGTCGGGGGCGGCACTGGCATCATGTACCTCATGGGGGGCGGGCCCGGCGCCATCGCCATCTGCGGCGGCATCTTCTTGCCGAAGGTGCCCGCCTTCTTGCCGGTCGGCACCGCCACCATGTGGTGGCGGCCGTGGCCGGGCGGCGGCGGCAGGGTCATGAGCATGGCGGGGTGCGGGTGCGGCGGCGGCCCCGGGCGCATGAGGGTGCCGTTGCTGTACAGGGCCTGCATGTGCTCGCGGCCGGACAGCGAGCTGTGGGGCCGTGCGTGCCCGTGCCCGTTCATCTGCATGGTGGAGCCGCGCGCCAGCGACCCGCTCGTGCTCCTGGCCGGCGCGGGGTACAGCTCCTCGCGGCTGCCCATCATCTTCTTGCGGCGCATCCGCTCCTTGGCCGCCTTCTTGTTCTTGCCGTTCGCCTCCTCCTTGGGGGGCGGCGGAGGCGGCGGCGGCGGCGGCTGCACGGGCGCCTGGATCTGCCTCGGCCGTCCGGCCCGCGAGGAGCGCGTGATGGTGGCGCCGAAGGACGCGTACAGCGCCCCGCCGTCGTCAACCTCGTCGCGACCCGCCCACACCTTGTGGTTCTCGTCGCCATTGTACACGGATATGTCGTCCACGTCGTCCTCGGCGCCGAAGTCGGCGCGCGAGTCGAGGGTGCCGTTGTGGTTGCCGTTGCCGTTGCTGAGGCTGAGCGTAGAGCCGTGCGCCTGCCGCCATCCCTCCACCTTCTCGATGCTGTTGGTGCCGACGGGCGTGTGGCGGCTCAGAGTGCCGTACACCGACCCGTTGGCCTGCCCGTTGGACTGGCCGTCGATGTGCTTGGCGTACGAGGAGTCGGCGTACGCGTGGAAGCAGCAGCGCACCAGGGCGTTGGCGGCCGCCTCGCGCTTGCAGATGAAGGCGTGGCACTCGAGGACCTTGATGCCCGTGGTGCGGCGCAGGATGGCGGCGAATAGCGGCGGGTGCACGGGGCTGGGCGCCGACGCGAAGGGCGAGTCCAGGGGCAGGAAGCGCGGCTGGCTGCTAGCCTCGCCGCCCTTCTCGGGCACCAGGACGTGGCGCACCGCGGCGCAGTAGTGCAGCGACGAGATGGGGAAGAAGCGCGTCACCTCCTGCCGGTTCTCGTCCACGTTCTCCAGGAGCAGCCCATTGCTCCAGACGCTGAGCCACGAGTCGATGCCGCGGGCACCGCGAGCGCCTCCCTCGGGGTACAGCTCCCGCAGCGGGCCCTGGATGCCCTGCAGCCCGTCCTTGCTGGCGTGCGGCACGGCCGAGCCCAGGTACAGCACGCGGCACCTGCAGATGGGCGTGGCGGCGTCCCCGCCGCGGGGGGAGGCCATCCTGGACGGCAGAGTGAGCGAGGTAGGGGTGGACGTCGACGCCGACGTCCGGGTGGTCGTCGAAGCTGTCCCGTTGGACGCTGCTGGCGGTGTTGTCGAGCGCTACGCCATGCGCTGGGCTACGCTAGGCCCGGGCCCGGGTCAGCATCCTGGCGCCGGAGCGGCAACGCTGCACCGCGCTACGCTACGCCGTGCTACGCCTTACCGTGAGGCTGGGGAGCCTTCAAGTCCTGTCCCGGCGAACAGGTGGCTAGAACGCGCAGGGCGCGGTGGGGCAGTAGCTCCGATAGGGAAGGGAGGGTAAACACACAGAGGTACACACACATACACACACAGCGTGGTGATATCCGTGTCACAGGGGCACTCACTTCACTATTTGCACCACTTGCACTGCACTGCACTGGCACTGATGTGGAATCACAATCAAGGAGCACGACAACAACTGAACAAACGAACGGTAATCCAAAGGGATGTGCGGGGTCAGTAATCCGTGCGGGAGGCGCGGGTCGCGCTTCGCGAGCTGTCGCGTCCGGTCGCGGTGCGGAGCGGTGCCAGTCACCTCAGCTCCCTCCGCGGTGCTTGGCGGCGCGGGCACGGCACGGTGCAACACCACTCGCCTCGGAAAGTCGGCTGGGACTGGCTCACGGCTCACGGACTCACGCTCACCGGGGCTGGCTGCTGCTGGCTGGATGGCCGGGATACCGACCGGGCCCCCTTCTCCCCCTC